AAAAGGTTTCCAAAGATGTGAATCCCTGAATTCTGATTTAGTGAAGCAAAGGAGAGGTATTACCCATGATAGGTACTTAATTAATATTTGGTAATTAATTTCAGCTCATTTTGCTTTGTACCGATTACCTGGAAGAATAGTTAAAGATGGGAGCTATCTGTTAACATCTTTATTTTAATTGTCAATTAAAAAGATAAATGTGTCCATTTCAGTGTTCAAAGGTATAATCTGAAAAGAACCCTGTATCTTCTCTTTGGCTGGGATTCGGAGTACACTCATAATTTTTCCAATTACAAGGCATCTTCTTGTTCTGTTTATTTCACGGCAAAAGTTTTAAAAGCCTTCAAAAAGAGCTCATTTTGCTCACTTGAAATGTGTGTGTACATTTTAGCATAAAATATACTTGACAGCTTCTAACATAATTGGATGGCTACGCCTTGCAAAAACTTGATTTCTTTTTAATCAAATTTTTAGAGCTATACTGGGTTTCTTGCCAGTGCAGCAACAGTGAGCAATAAATACACCATTAGATCAATGGTGGTCTGATGATGGAGTACTCAAAGATACATCCAGCCAAGAAGAATAAGACCAAAAGTATCATTGTGCATATTAATAAAGTATTGTTTAAGACACAGATACCAAGTTAATATAACAGAGAAGAAACACTGTAAAATAGAATAGAGCAGCAATGGGTTTATGATGTACAGTAGTAGTCATGGATTTTCCTAAGTACTTGAGAGCAGCCACACCATTATACGTGCTTCTGGTCAGATCCAGGGATGAGAAGGAAAAAGTTATAAAAAAGGAAACTAACCAGGGGAAGGCCTGCTGCTATAATAAATTATTTAAAGCCAGCAGAGTAAGCAGGTTGTAAAGACAATATAAAACAGAATCAGTGCTCCAAAGAAACCCCAAACCATCCGCACCTCTATAAATTTCTTACCACCCTGTCTGGCATTTTACTACAGGTATTTCTTTCCCACGTGCTCCCAGTCCCACCCCCACCCCTGACCCTTCACTTCTGGCCCAGTTCCCTTCTCAGAGTTTAACATTTGTTTTTCTCGTGTAACTCAGGGTCTGTTGTCTTCTGCTATGTTTTCCACTTGTATTAGGAGAGTCTGTGAGGCCACAGACGAATGCATCTGTCACTTCAATCATCTGGGTCTTAAATTTCTCAGCGACACTATAAGCTAGGGATATCTAACATGACACAGCTCTCAACATGACTCTAATATCATCCTTTACCCACTTCTATTTTCTTACTACAATTATCATTAAATCTACAAAGCTAAAACTAGAGTAAAACTTTCTAGCTCAGTGACTGCTCTCTATTACTAGACGGAAACTCAACAGCAAAGGTAGGAGTCGGAAGGGGTATTCTGAGAAGCACTACTTAAAATGGCTAAAATTTAAGTACTAGGTGATGCTAAGAAAACAGGTTGACTTGAAAAGTGAATTTTGTACAAGTAGATTTCACCATGAGAATAAGGGTAATAAAAGAGTCTAAAACTTGAAAATAATTTTTCAAATGAAAGTTAGATGTCAGAAGTATTCCATGGCAGGGAGCGGGGGAAATCAGTGTTACATAGAAGCTTGCAATGACCTACAGCCCAGTTTCAAGTAAAGCAGCATTGTACTGTAGGCTTCTTATTTTTTAAACTGGGCCCAAATCAGGGCCATTGTATGATCAGTGGCTGTAACTTTAACTTTTCTTACTTTAACTTTTCTAAGGATCTTTAACTTTTCTAAGTCCATCAAATTATGCTGAAACTAGGCAAATGAAATGTAAGTAATGATGTCTTTCTTACCAGTGCAGCATAACCTGACTACAGACAAAACAGCACAGGGCTAAAATACACATCACAAGAATTCTTCATGTAGTCTTTACTCCTGTCAATCTCTATGATCTTTAGCAAATTATGTGCCTCTCTAGGTCAAGGTTGGGTAGTTAACGTTAGGGTCACAGAACCAAACTATCACATATGGTGGCTAACTTTATAAAGAAAACTGCTGCAAAGTCATATTCAGTGTAAGAAAAAATGAAAGACCAGGGTTAACTGTAGATGACACAAATGACTAGGCCTAACCTTATCATATCACCACACTACTAAATAAAAACAGTTCAAAACATAAGGCCAACTTCTCAGTGGCTGGTGTCATCTTTGAATATGAAAAGACAGGATCTAAATATTATCCTTTTATAACTGCAGTTTGCTCATCTGGAACAAAGTGTGGAGTGGAAATCATTGTCCTCAAAAGATTGTTAAGAAAATGACCTGTCAATACGCCTGCCAAGTGCTTCTTTACACAGAAATTGCTCCATAAAAGTCCCGGTGATGATCCAATGGTTTGGAACAATCCAAACTCAGTGTCTCAGCAGAGCCATGTTCCTTTGTCATCAGGTGAGTAAAAGTTCTGGGTACTGCTGTCCTCTGCTAAGTCACTTGGGTCTTTTGGTACTTGAATGAGAGTAAGAGGGAAGGACAACTTCTGTCAGATCCATTCTCTTTCAAACCTTATTTAAGAGTTTTATTTGGAGAATTATGCCAGTCTGACATGGGAGAATAGAAACCAGATGTCAACACCAAACAATAAATAAAAAACTAACTGGTAATAATGAATAAATAAAAATCCACACTGATTTCGGTGAAAAGACAGATAGCAATTCTCAACCCCTTCCCTTTGATGATGAGAAAATCCACCTACTTGGTTGGACAGCTCAAAATACTTCTAAGGTGATTTTCAGAAGACAAGGTTTCCAGATCTCAAAGATAGGCAGCTAGAGACAGTCTGCTGGCTGACAGCAGAGCAGACCACATCTTCCCAAGGAGACACCTGACTTGCACAAGCCTGTACTAGCCCAGCAGAAGCTTATACTGTGGTGACAGCCCCAAATCTACGGGGGCTTTTACTGAGACAAAGATGTCTTCTCTCCTACCCTCCTGGGAGAAATGACCAGCATCTATATTACAGCTGGCCAAGTCATCCCAGAGCTTCCAAGGAACCCAATGTTTTGAAAAAAGGTGGTGAAGGGGTCAAAATTAGTGAGGGGTCTTAACTTACCTTGCTTCTAAGACTTCCTTAGAATTGGCACCAACCTGGAACAGGAATAGCTAAGGATTCCTAAACATCTTCAAACACATGACTTTTAAAAGGGGCCCATTGTTTGGAAAAAGAGTTAACGCATTACAGCACCAATAAATTTCACAAGGCCAGTAAATGACAACTGGAAATTTCTGAATAATTATTTGCTAAATCAATTTAAAGCCCATGTTCTTTTATAACATAAACAATATTCTAGTATTTTTTGAAATATGGTTTCCTGATATGAGAATCATTTGGGGAAGCTTGTTGAAAATGTAGTTTCCTAGGTCCTATCCAGGCCTGAGAATTGAATTCCCAGGACTGGCGTTCAGCTTGAGAACTGAATTTCTTAAAGAAATCCAGTAGAGTTGGATGACTCATATCAAACTCAAAGAATTATTGTGTCTATAGAACTCATCACATGGAGGTCAGCCTGGGCCACAAAGTGAGCTCAAGGCCAGCCTGAACTGCAGAGAGAGGCCCTGTCTCAAAAAGACAAAAAAAAAAAAAAAAAGGAACTCATCACAAATTTAGACACACGTATATTAAGAATCTGCATATTTCCAAAAAATATTTATGGACCATAAAAGTGAAAACAATACTTTTTATGAGTTCTTAAAACCATTCCAGTTTATTCTGTCCACATATAATGAACATCACTATTAACATGTAATTACTGACATAAAATTATTTTGAAAACATCAAATATGCTTCACAAAAATATTGCCTTTATTGTTATCCAAAGTAATTATGCTATTAAAAGAATTCATAATTTTTTTTAAATATCAGTCATGTGGCTGCAGGAACTTATTAAGTTCTACTGCTCCTCCCGTATCCTTTTAGTCATCAGAATTTTTGATAAAGTCTTTTTATTATTTTTTAAACTATAAGTTGTGAACCGTTATGACTAATGATTAGGCTGAATATGAATTTATATCCAAATTATAAATTCCTAAAACTATGTTTCATTAGAATTACTTAAGCAGACTTAATTCTAGTCTCTGCAATAAAGCTGTGCTTACTTCTATTAAGGTGGGTTTTTTTGGCGCAAAACAATTCAATTTTAATGCATTCTCTTAAGAAGCAAAGGAAAACAGTTATGATATACACACTACTGCAAAGCAGTAAACCAGTGCTGCACGGTGATGTGACAAGCACTACATTTTGCCCCCAGGGGGATTATTTTTTCTCCCATAATCCTCCCAATCTCGGCTGTAATTATTTCACAAAATATAGTTTGCCATTTCTAGAGACAATATTGCACTCTGCCATCCTTCTCACAAAATCTCAAGTTCCGGCCAAATAATGAATGAAAATAGAACTTGAGAGGCAGGCCTTGTTTGTAGCACGTTGTTTCTGCCAAGGGTGGCCCCTGCCCACACTCCACCCCAGTGCTGACTGAAGTGCACACGTTATGTTTTAACAGATGGGCCGGCTGGCGGCTGCTGGGCTGTAAAACAGGAACGCGCAATCTGCACCGAGCGGTGTTGAACCGAATGCTCGTAAAGTTCATGGACATACACTGACCCAGACAGATCCGGCAGACGCACACATGCTCACCGCGCGCCCCGCAGCTAGAGGGCTCATCCCTGGGACCCAGGGAAAGTTCAAGGCTGAGCTGCCCTTCATGTATCTCTACCTCATTCACCTGTTAATTTTACACACACACACACACACACACACACACACACACACACACACGGAATATCCTTATACACACATACACACGAAAAATTATATGTATCGATGTTTTATATTTTCCAAATATCTGAATATTCCCAAATTTTAGACCCAAGTCTCTCTCTAGTACTCTCACCAAGCTTTCATTCCTGTCCAGTAAGAATGGCGAGATAATACTGTACTGAATTCCATTTAGTGCACACAGTGTAAACTGCACGCATGCCATTGCCTCACAGAAACGCAGCTTGCACATTCAGAGAAAAGCCCGAGCACTGACCCAGACCTGCCTTGGGCGAAGCGTCAGGTGGAACCTCAAGTCCAGCGCGGTAGGTCCTTAACTCAACTTCGCCCCTGGGACGCACCGGCGCTCGGACCCACCCCGCTGCCCGCAGCGGGTCCCGCGGGCGGCGCTCGGGGCGGACAGC